TGGTCTCCTTGACCAGCAATCTCTTGCCATATGGCCCGTCGTCCGGCAATTCTAACACGTCATCCCCTGTCCGTTCCCGCCATGTTCCCACCTCCCCCATAGTTCTCATTCCCACCATTCCCGTTTCCATTAAATCCGCCGTTATTCATCCCAGCGTCTACTCTGTGCTATCTTCCTATGTACCTTCCGTGTAAACTAATCAAGTAATATTATTCCTTCCCCGTAGGTGTTAATCGCCTACCCTTGCTAACCGTCCGCTACCACCGAATTGAAGACGCGATCACCTAAGTGCTGCGCAACAGCGCACTCAGTTCTCTCGCATCTCCGGAGAAGGAGACAGACGCGGCAATGTGCTGAAGCCAGGTAGAGACACACCTAGCAATGAGAACCACCATGCCTTAATCGGAAAACCCAAACATTCTCCCACTTCACAATTCTCTCATGCATCACCATGTCACTAGCCCAGCGCAAAAGAAACTTGGCGAAATCCTCGACCGGTTTCGTCGGCTCGCCTCCCAACTCATCAGGAGGTGCTCATCCGAGCTTCAGTTTCGGAGGCTGAGAGCCTTGCCTTGCCCTCTATAAGTAGCTTGCGGTGCTGCGTACCCAGCGCTCGGACTGGCCTATGTCAAAGAAACGTAACAAAACTTCTCACCCAGAGATGTCATGTTTCAGGTGGGCAATACGGCCCGATTCGCATATGCGGACATGGCAGCTCACGGATACGAGCCCCTGGCTCGTTGAGGTATTGCCATCATTTCTTCCATGTGATTGTTCCGCGTTCGCTGGTCGCATCATCAACCATTAAGCATCCCCGTCATCAAATCCTTTGTATCTAGCTCTTCGCAGATCTTGAAAACCCCAAAACGAAATCCGCCAATTAGTACCTGCCCGAACTAAAAAGTGCAGCTTCGAACGGGTAGAAATGGAAATCACCATCGAAAAATTAAAAATTAAAATTAAAAGATCGACAGCTCCGTTCCGACTCCGGTTCGAAACGGAAGTCGGAACATGTCAGTACGGAACCGCTATTTTCTATTTGCCATAAATTCATCCCGGAATCGGCTTTGTACCCTGCTATGTCCCCGGACTCTGACAGCCTCATCGTCTGCTTTCTGATCCCCTACTCTTACATGACCTAGCTGTCAGAATCCATTTGTACCTTCTCACTACACTGCATCTGTCGACAAAAACGATAAAATACATTTGAGAAAGAGGAGAATACTCTGATGTCACACTTGCTTGGAGTCGAGCACTGGTCCCACTGGTCTGGGCCGGTTCGGTGCTATCTGCCACAGCATCCGGACCATGTCGAGAAATGGACGAAAAACCGGCATCGAAGTCAGTCTGGCCGAACCAGCCAGACCCTGGAGGTACCCGACTTTCTGAACCGGCCAACTTTCTGAACCGGCCAGACCTTTCTGAACCGGCCAACTTGGCCTATCGACTTGGGGCCTTCGACCCTGAAATCCGAATTCGGGGTCTGCATCGTGAAATGTCTTTCACTGGCTTAGCTTGACGGGTTTGAGGGACTGATTGTATCCTGTGGTGAGGAGGGGAGGGAGGGGGGGGGAAGGGGGAGGGGAGGAGAGGGTTCGTATGTGTCATGGCTTAGCTTGACGGGTTCGAGGGAGTGATGGTATCCCCCAGAGAGAGAGAGAGAGNGGGGAGGAGAGGGTTCGTATGTGTCATGGCTTAGCTTGACGGGTTCGAGGGAGTGATGGTATCCCCCAGAGAGAGAGAGAGAGAGAGAGAGAGAGAGAGAGAGAGAGAGAGAGAAAGAGAGAGAAGCTTATCTGGTTGTACCTGTTAAATGTTGTCGTCTGAAAGGCCTTCCACGATTCAGACCCCAAATTCGGATCTCAGGGTCAGATGCGCAGGTCAAGAAAAGGCCGAGTTCGTCAAACTCAGAAAAGTCACAATCGTGTACCTCAGCAGTCTGGTCCAACAGGCACCCAGCAAACAGTCACGTCTCAGGGACAAGAGTCACGTCTCATAATAAAAAGCCATTCAGAAGAGTCACATGCCACGAGTGAAAAGGCAGATTCACCAAGCAAAGGTCATGTCTCAAAGGCAAGACTCACGCTTCTTAGTGAAAAGTCATAATGAAGAGTCACATCCCACGAGTAAAAGGTAGTATCACAGGCAAAAGTCGTGACCCACAGGCAGGAGCCACTGTCCACAGTCAAAAGTCATGTTCACAAGTGAAAAGTCACGACTCAAAGGCCCAAGCAGCAGCAATCCAATGGAAATTCGGGAAGGTTCCAGGCCTTGACATTCAGAAGCAGACAGGCCGTGGGGATGTGGTACCGGAACCAGTCAGGACCCAAGAAACAGAGGCTGGCACGAGTTGGAGTGCAAACCAAGACTACAGAAGGACTGGCCAGCCTCACATTCGGGCAGATTGCTCATTCGCAAGAAGTGTGGAAGTGCTGGTGCACTTGTGCGCTGAAGTGAGGAGCAGAGCGCTGAGGCCAGAGTGCTGCGCTAAGTGAGGGAGAGAGAGGAAGATAGCGCTGGCAGGGAGAAGGCAGCCATAGCTGCGCCAGTGCAGAGGTGTTAATGCTAGTTGTTAGTAGTAGACTCCAGAGGGGTTAGTAGGGTTGACAGTGGGTGTATTCAGAGTAGATCCATGAAGTAGTAGATAGTGAGTGTGAATGCATGTCGGGAGAGACGATACAGAGAAGTCATAGCTAGGGAGAAGACCAGCAAGGTGGAGAGCAGAGGGGAAGAGATACTTACCTGAGAGTTTATGCTGATTATTGGTTACCTATTGGCACGCGCTGATGAGCGCTGGTGACTTGAACTCTTATTGCTCTTGTAATACTTTCTGGAAAAGATAAGCTGCGCTACCTGGTCTTCATCTCTCTTGTATCCAGTGTGAATTTCGTGAACTCATACGTGCATGTGGTGTGAATATGTGCACTCATTGGTGTTGAACTAGGAGGTTTGCTGCACGTCAGTGGAGGCTGTGGAGCGACAAAGTATTGCTTCTGAAGGCCACGGAAATTTGACTGGCGCTGGTCTTCTATGCGCCTGAGGGATATTGTTTTGGAGAGTAGATTCACAAATTGGTGGGGTGTTTGTGAGAGAGATTCTAGCTTCATCAGCTGTGGAGAGATACACTTATGCTTATTCCTGGGGAAAGTGAGGAGAGAGGTGCAATCAGACTCGCTATCTTTCACACTTCGTATGCATGTAAACAGGTTGCGCAGCAAACTGGTGACAAGCGCCCACTCAGAACTCAGAGATATGGAAACCAAGAACGCAGTTCAGATACAAGTTCACTTCAAATGGCTATGGCGTCACAGCGCCTGTACAACTCTCTGCTCACACACACACACAGGATCACCCTGGATATCCCACGTGCGGCACTCTGTACACAAATGCGCACACACACGCTACACTCTCCTAACAGCTATGGCGGCTATGGCCGCTGCTACCCTATCGCTATGGCTAAGCTCCTTCTCTCGCCCACTTCGTCTTCGGGCTCACTGCAGACCACCTCGCACAAGTCGCTGTGGCAGCGCTTCCGCATGGCTTACGCAGGAATGAATGAATGGCTGGGCGCTGCCTCTTGATTTATACTTCTGTATCTCGTTGGTCTGCCCGTTTCCCATGCCCGTGGTGCACACAGTCCCATGCGGTACTTGCTTGACTGGACTAGGACTGACTGGGACTGGGACTGCTGACTCAGCACGGGTGGACTCCACCACTTGCCCACTTGCCTCAGCCTAAACGTGAGCAGCTTCGAAAGGCCACTACTAGGACCTTCCGAAAGGCCGTGGACTTGGCCTTTCGATACTGTAGCAGCTATGACCTTGACCTTTCGGAGGAGCTACAGCTACGACTTCTAGACCTTGCTAAGACTCCTATCCGACAGGTCTACAGATCGAACCCCTATAACCTACAGACCTACGACGACCTACCAACTGGGGAAAGGACACAGGTCATGGGTTCAACTCCTGGGGTCGACACAGATACTGGACACAGGTAAGGTAAGTCTAGGGATCGAGCCCTGGGATCTGCGTCGGCTACTGCGAACAGGTGAATACCGTTTCAGAGGAGCCGGCGGCTAAATGGGGGAGGAAGGGAAAACACTTCGTATGAATTGACTACCATTTGTGTTGATTGTCCTGGTCCTATTCATTTTTTCCTTTGCTCTGATGCTTATCTACTTCGCTAGATCTTCCTAGAGATATGAGTGACCCCACGGTCACATGCTTCAGCAGCAGCTACCGTGGCAGATGGACTTTTCGACCGCTGGTTGCACTTCCTTTCTTTGGTAATCTCCCCGACACCTCACAACCCTTAAAAAGAAAAAAAAAAGGAGCATGAGTGTGTGCGGGCCCCGCACCGTGCTGATGGTAGGCAAACGGGAAAGCCAAGGATACTTCTGTCTATCCGGCTGAAGAGGCTGTATTTCCAAGATTCAAATTGTCAGAGCCGAAGCCGGGTAATGGCCCAGTGTCTGGACAATCAGGATATGTGAGGGGAGGGAAAAAAACTTCGCTATGTCTTTGTGATTGTGACTCTTTAAGTATGGTGAGGTTAATGCATGGTGATGATGGTATGAGCTTTGGATTCATTGAAAAAAATCAATCGAACTGTTTTTGTGGTTAAAAATAGCCATCCCTGGAAGTTGAGGCTGAAGACAAAACATCTTTTAATTGCTCATGGAAGGGTGAAAGTGAAAGTCGTCAAGTGTCATCAGCATAGTGAAGGATGTCCGAGGATATGCTGAAGGATGTCCGATGGTATACCGTAACATTAGGCTTTATAGGTGCTGGCAAACTCCTGCTCTCAACTGCTTCCCAATCAACTCCAGCAAACCAAGGATGAATCTTGATGTCCTTTGCACCACCCTTCAAGTTTCCGAATCTGTAACAGCATACAAGGACACAATGTACAGTACAGGACATCAGCAGCGACCACAGTAACTCTCAATTTGCCACGATGGTTGTACAGTACAGACTCAGCATTGATAGGATAAATACTAGGACATCTGCAGTGACCACGACAACTCTCATTTTGCCATGATGGTTATGTATGCAATCAGACTCGTTTTCAAACACACTTTTCACACATGTAAACAGTAACGCAGCATACTGGCGACATGCGCCCACTCATCTCACTGTTCACA